TTGACCTCTTTGTCTTCTTTTGTTCACTTACTTGTTGACACCCTCCATAGCATTTACTTCTCATGGAATTTGAACCTGCTGTAATTATGCCTTTGCTAGCTGGTTCATTGTTGTTGTCAGTTCTGTTATTGACTTCCCATGATCATGAAGCTCTTTGTGCAAGTGCATGACCGTGGGGTCACCATGTGGCACATTGGTTCTACTTTGCCAAGCGGAGGACGTGTCAGCCATCTCATCCAATATTGAATTAGCCTCATCATACGGTGTGTTCATGAAATTTCCCCTGGCGAGTTGGTTCACTATGCACCGATTTGTTGTGTTAATGCCCCGGTAGAATGTCTGTTGTATCATTGCCTCAATCATATCATTATTTGGGTATTCCTTTACCATAGTCCGGTATCTCTCCCATAGAGCATGTAGTGGTTCGTTGGGCTCCTGTTTGAAAGCTAAGATTCCATCCCTCAAAGTTGCCATGTGGCCCGGCGAGAAAAACTTTGCAATGAACTTATCCGCCAACTCATCCCAAGTAGTGGTAGAATGGTTGGGAAGCATCTCAAGACAATCCAAAGCTTTCCCTCTAAGTTAAAAAGGGAATAATCTCAACCGAAGTGCATCATCTGACAAATTTGTTTGCTTTCTCCCCCAACAGGTATCAACTGTTAGTTTGTATGAGTTCACCAAACAGTAGAATACATGGTCCTCTATGAGGTTATGCTGAGAATGCTAGTAAAACGGTAAGTAAGTGAGACACAGGATTTTTACGTGAAAAAATCCCAACTTAAGAGGACAAAAACCACGACCTACACCTGTAGGCTTTCAACTTCACTAACTTGTAAACACCTATTGCAAGCCACTTTGTAATAACTCTATTACAAAGGATTCAACTCAACTAACTTGTGGCAATCTCACCACAAGCCACTTTGTGACTCTCTAGTTATAAAGACTTTGACTAACTTATGATACTCTCACCACAAACCACTTTGTCACTCTCTAGTGACAAAGACTTTAACTTATGACTAAACCTAGTCACAACATAAACTCAGAGAGTTTACGGATTTTACAAGAGGATTCCTAATCAACGCTTCTGGCTAAGCAGTTTAGGAGATACAATAAGAACAATCCCAAATTTACAACTCAACTAAGGACAACAAAATACAAACTTTAGGAACTGGTCCGTAGTAGCGTTCAACTTTCTTCTTCAACCTCGTGAGAAATGATTTCTCTGTTTTGCAAAAGGCTTGAATGAGAAACAGAAGTGTTCAAGTGATGTTTTGATATAAACTCATTGTTGATACACCATGATGACATCACTTGAAATGATGTAAGCACTTTAGTTGGTCAAGGAATAAGTGGGCACTGGTAGTGCAGTGCAGGCAGAAATAGTGTAGGCAGTCACGTCTTCTAGTTGTGTCTCATTGACCTCGTACTGCTATGAGGGAACAACAAGGGTATGAGGTCCTTGTTTGGTTCACTATCCCCTGAAGCTATAGCAATTCACATTGAGCTGGAATCTATTAACTTGCAGTACAACCCAAGTATATCAGGTTCCCTATCTGGTTCTTGACAAAGTTTGTTAGATCATCAAAACATAAGTCAAAGACATTGAGAAACCTATCAATTTACCCTTTTTTATGATGATAAACTTAAACAGATAACGTTGTTATTTAGAGCAAGATGAACCAGATTACCTAGCAGGAGAACACAAGTTTCACAAGTTCCCCCTGACTTTATGCCTTCCTTATTTCACATTAGTTCCCCTTGACTTTATGACTCCCCCTAACTTTATGACTTATTTATTCCCCCTTTTGGCATTATTAAAAAGACACAAACAGATAAACAGCACAAAGAAGTGTAGCCGAGGTAATTCATGCCACATATGTGCACACAACATGATAAAGAAGAGAAACATAGAATTTAAATAATAAGATAATAAAAGAGGATAGATTTAATATTAATAAAATTTAATATGCATTTTCTTAAAAAGAAAAGGCAACATTGGACTGTTAAGATGGGAGCAGTACTGTTTCATCCCAACCACATAAAAAAAAGATAACAAAACATCTACGAAAACAATAAAACTTAAAGGACATTTCCAGAAACTAGTCACTGAAGGGGTACTTAGGGGGGACTAGGAGTAGAGGGCTTGGAAGCTGCAACAAGTGTTTTAAGAACAAGGTCTATTCGGGCATTGGCCGATTTTTGCTCATTGAGCAGTTCTGCTTTTAGGTTCTCTACTTGCGCCCTGAGATCAACATTCTCTTTTGTCAAATGAGCTACTTCATCATTTGACGCTGGAACCCCTTGTGCTTGTTGACCTTCCAAGATAGCATTCTTGGCATTCAACCGACGAATCTCCTTTGCTGCACTTTTTTGAGCATTAATAAGCTGTGAGACGGTTGATGTACTTCTTACCCCCCCCCCCCCCATTCTTTTCTATGCGCTCGTATTTTTCCAATGTTTTCTATGAGAAAGTCTGCTTCTTAGTCCCCACCTTTCCTGGCCCCAGTGGCACCTCAAAGAATTTAAACACTCGCGTAAGGAAGAACCCATAGGGAAGGCCATGATTACCATTTTTGAAGGTGGCAACCTTTTTCATGTGTTCAATCATAATAGCAGGCATGCTCAAAGGAGTAAAGCTATCTAGTTGCTCCATCAATAACAAGTCAGACTTAGAAGTTACTAACCTCTCTCAGCTCGAGGCAATAGAACTTTGTTTACCAATTCGAACAGCTGCTGATAGACAGGGAGTAACACTTTCTTATGGTTCTGGTCCCCCTTCTGGTTTGCATTGTCTTTTACCACGACATTTCTAAAGTTAAACTGGCACAAATACTTTACACTAGACACACCACTTGTAAGAACTTTAAGAATTTCTCCAAGCAACTTTACATCAAACACAATATCTGCTCCATTCACCAAAGCATAGATGTGGTCTGTCTCAACGGGAAAGAGGCTAGCAAAAAAGCTTTGTACCTCATCCTCATATGCCTTAGGTGTATCTATTTGGAATAGATGCACCCATCGTTGAAACTCAACCATTTCAAGAATTTTCGCATACTAGCCATCTCAGAGATTGCTAGGTCAAAAGTACGACCCAACAGAACTTTTTGGTGCCTCAGGCGTTCTGAACCAAGGCTGACTTCGCTTCTTATCCTCTTCATAGAACCAGGTTCCTGAACAATTTTAGACTTTTGTTTGCCAGATTTCCCACCACTGGATTTCTCCTTTCCCTTGGTTTTGACTAACACATCCTCATCAGACATCGAGAACTCACTCACGACATCCTTCAACTTGGAGATAGAGGTTGAAACCTTCTCTACTGAAGCAGACTGCTTCTTTTTCTTAGATCGTCTAACTAGTGAACCAGGTTCAGCCGGTGTTTCCTATTCCACCTCTACCACAGGGATCGCCTTATCACTTATGGGCACACCATCTTTCACCAGCTTCCTCATTTGCTTCTTACTACCTTTTTTGCTCTTTTGAAGGGCAGAGTCGTAGGCCACCTTTACTTGCAACCTGGTAGTGGGTCGCTTGGTGGAAGACTCAGGAGTGGACACCACCCTTAGGTTTATAATGAACGCATCAAGAGCTAGGTTGTCTAAATCCTCCTCATCATTGGACCTCATCTCAGGTGCCTGCATGTCCAAAGGCACAACAACAAACACAGGAGTAGAACTGTCCTGGGAATAAGAACCCTGACCTAGGTCCTCCAGAGAAGGATCAGGTTCCTCATGTGAGGGCCCAGTAGTTTCTGCTAGTGCAGCATTTTCAACAGTTACAATGGCCCCTTCGTCCCCCATACCTTGTACCTCGTTTTTCTGAGAGATGATCTCATGCAGTACGCCATCAGCAGACACCATGAAGACGGTTACAACATTTTCTTCCTCAATCGGTACTACTGACACCACTGAATCTGTAGTAACAATGACGGAACCCTCTGTAACCTCAGGGTTTTGACCTTGTTCTCCACTTGTTCTTTGATTAGTGGGAACCTCAGAAGATGGAAAGGACGAATCAACAATTTTAGGGTTTTTTGAAATAGAGAGAGACGGGGAATCTAGGTAAGATGTGATTTTAACAGGAAGGGTAAGAGTGGTTAAAGAAGGCTCAATAGGGACGGAGGACTCCATAGGTTTTTTAGTAACAAGTATGACTGAGGCAGAGAGGTCGGAGTTTGCATCAGCCATTGGAAGGATGGAGCGAAGGTGCTTTGGGAAGTTCTAATATAGGACTTATGGTTTGTGGACGATAGATGGGGTTTTTATTAAGAATGGATAATTATGAAGAGAGAGAGATATAGGCACCGGTTCTGAAACGGCGGTTGGGTGTATAGAAGTGTAACATTTCAGGGGGAGATGGAACGATTTGAAGTGAAGAGACACGACAGTAGGATCTCAAAAGTTGGATGACATGGCAGTTGTGTTTTGTACCTTTTTAAGATGTGTATTAAAGAATGCATAGAACTACAAACCTTTGGTACAAGAACCAGGTTCTTGACCTGTTATTTGAAAATATTAATCCTCGTTTATCATCCATGCACTGCATCTATAGCTTCTATACTCATCATGCGTGTTTACCTGAAATGGTATTGAAGTGAGTTAGACATGGCCAGAAAACACTTTTAGCCAGTTTTTCTTGAAGGTGTTTTTTCACAGCCAACAATGAGGAATCAGGTTCTCAATTGGGCTTTAAAAGCCCCAACTTTACTCTGTTTCTTTCAAAGTGTTCCCTACTTAATGCCTTGGTGAAAATGTCTGCAATTTGGTCTTCTGTGCTACAGAACTTCATACATATCAACCCTTTCTCCACATTATCCCTCAGAAAGTGATGCTTCACATCAATATGCTTGGTCCTTTTGTGTTGAACTAGATTCTTGGCTATGTTGAGTGCACTGGTGTTATCACATAGAAGGGGCACACTCTCAGTGAGTACCCCAAAGTCCTCCAGTTGTTGCTTAATCCATAAACGTTGTGCACAACAAGATGTTGTTGCTACATACTCTACTTCAGCTGTTGAAAGAGCCACTGAGTTTTGCTTCCTTGTGACCCAAGAGATGAGACATGAGCTAGGAAGTGAGCCATTCTAGAAGTGATTTTCCTGTCCACAAGATAACCTGCAAAGTCTGTATCAGCATATCCAATGAGATTAAAACTGGCACCTGAGGGATAAAAAAGGACCAGGTCCTGTGTTCCTTCAAGATATCTCAGAATTCTTTTAGCTTCCTTAAAATTAGATTCCTTGGGATTTGATTGAAACCTTACACATAGCCACACACTGAAGACAATATTAGGTCTACTGGCATTGAGATAGAGAATAGACCCAATAATGCCTTTATACATGGTTTGATTCACAGGAGTCCCAGTTTCGTCCATGTCCAGTCGAGTGGCCGTAGCAATGGGAGTGTCTATCACCTTTGATGCTTCCATGTCAAACATCTTCAAGAGCTCCCTGATCTATTTTTGCTGAGAAATAAATGTACCCTTTGGGGATTGCTTTACTTGAAGACCCAAGAAGAAGTTCAGTTCCCCCATCATACTCATTTCAACTCACTCCCATGAGTTTTGCAAATTCTTCACACAGAGAATCAATTGTTGCCCCAAAAATGATATCATCAACATAGACCTGAACGATGAGCAGGTTCCTTCCCCGTTTCTTTAGGAACATGGTATTGTCAATTTTCCCTCTTCTAAAGCCATTTTCCAAGAGGAACTTTGATAGTCTTTCATACCAAGCTCGAGGAGCCTGCTTCAGCTCATACAATGTTTTGTCCTGTTTAAACACATATTCAGGGTGTTCATGACATTCCAACCCTGGAGGTTGCTTCACATAGACTTCTTCCTTAAGAAGTCCATTTAGAAATGCACTTTTGACATCCATTTGGAACAAGGTAAATTCCATATGAGATGCAAAAGTGACTAGAATTCTAATAGCTTCCATGCGAGTGACTGGAGCAAACATTTCGTCATAGTCAATCCCTTCCTCCTGATTATAGCCTTGAACCACTAGCCTGGCCTTGTTCCTTGTGGTATTTCCATGTTCTTCAAGCTTGTTCCTGAATACCCACCTGGTTCCTATAATGGTTCGATTTGAGGGTCTGGGCACTAGGTGCCAGACATTGTTCCTTTCAAACTGATGTAACTCGTCTTGCATGGCTGTAATCTAATATGCATCTTTTAAGGCTTCATTGATATTCTTGGGTTCTATTTGGGAGAGAAAGGCTGAGGAGGCAAGTGAATTTCTGGATTTTGACCCGGTTTGTACTCCGGAATCTTGAGGGGTAATTATGTTGTCAGGAGGATGAGAGCTTTTGTGTGTCTCCAGTTAGATGTCTGAGGTTCATTTAGAGAGAGTGTGGGTACATTTGACTGGTTTTCCTGAATTCTTTTCTCAGGTGCTAGTGGAGTACCCTGAACTGCATTAACCATACTTTCTTCACTCAGCTCTTTTACTTGACTCATCATATCTGCCTTTCCATTTGCCATGTCAATGACTTCACTAGGGACTAGTAAGGGTTCTCCATCTTGATCTTCTTCAGCATTCTTCTCACAGGAGTGATAAAACTCATCAAAAATAACATGAACACTTTCCCCAACACATTGAGTCTCCTTATTATATATCTTGTACGTTTTGCTTTGAGAAGAGTAGCCTAGAAATATTCCTTCATCACTCTTGGCATCGAATTTTCCAAGCTGATCCTTTCCATTATTGAGAACATAGCATTTGCACCCAAATGTTCTTAGGTGAGTCAGCTTGGGTTTCCTTCCATTCAACGGCTCATATGGGGTCTTGTAAAGGAGGGATCTGATCATGCACCTGTTCACCAAGTAGCAAGCAATGTTGACGGCTTCAGCCCAAAAGTTCTTTGCAATTCCACTATCGATTAGCATTGTCCTTACCATCTCTTCCAGAGTTTTGTTCTTCCTTTCCACTACTCCATTTTGCTGAGGAGTTCTAGGAGCTGAGAAGTTGTGGGTGATGTCATTTTCATAGCAGAACTCATCAAATTTGGCATAGTCAAATTTTGTTCCATGATTTGACCTAATGTATGTGACTCTAGACTCCATCTTCACTTGGATTTTCTTCACGAAGGCCACAAACACCTCAAAGGTTTCATCTTTAGTTCTAAGAAACAGAGTCCATGTGAATCTGGAGTATTCATCCACTATCACAAAGATGTATCTTTTTCCTCCTCTGCTTTGCACTCTTATAGGACCACATAGGTCCATATGCAAAACCTCTAGTGGCTTTGAGGTGCTCTCATCCCTTTTAGACTTAAAAGAGGACTTCACATGTTTTCCTCTAGCATAGGCATCACAGATTTTTTTCCACTTTGAACTTTGACATGGGCAGACCATGGACCAGGTCCTTCTGAATTAGTTTGTTCAAAAGAGAAAAGCTTGCGTGCCCCAGTTTTCTGTGCCACAGTTTAGCATCATCACCAACAGCTTTTAGACAACTCAGATCACCACTTTGTAAGGACTCGAAATCAACAACATAGATGTTCTTGTATCTTTTGGCCATTGATCGAGGTTGCGGGAGTGGTCGAAACAGTTTTTACCCGAGAAGGTCGGGATCGATTTTCACAGGGAGCTAGAAATGGGAATTGAGTTTCTATCTAAATTGGATATGCATATTGCTCTCAATTGCACTTCTAATCATAGTTGGTTTTGATATTACTTCTAAATGTCTACTAATAAGATGCTAAATTAAGCTAAGTTAAGCTAAGAGTAAGATACTTAAAGGGTTGTCTAAATAGTTAAAAGGAATTAGGGAAGTGACTTTCTCCTAGGTGGACACTTGGCGGGTTCTCAAGTCTAAGGCTAGGTTGTCATATTGGGGATTACGATATAACCATTGCACGATACTACTCACTCTATACCTCTCGATAGTTTGAGTGATTTTTCCCTAATTGACTTTCTCAAGACCAATTTGGTATAATAATTTGTGCAAACAATTGAGGTTCAAGTCCGGTATTACTATCTCTAGGTTTAACCCTTTAATCGGGGCTATCAATATCTTGAATACGCCCCAATTCCTTGTTAGACTAATTTTCCTAGGCTTAGGCTCTCTTTCTCAAGAACAGCCCAAGTCAAATAGGCACAAATTAGTGTTTGCAACCACTAATTCAATATTAAAACCATATATTAGTCCAAATATCAAACACCCATAGACATTCAAGCCTTAAAACACAAGACCCATCAAATACCCACACTAGGGTTGAGCCACAACCCTAGCTAATGGGTCTAGCTACTCATGATAATAGAATAAAACAAAGAACTAGATGAAAAAAAACCCATAATATTTAATTAAAAGCTAAAACTTGAAGATTCAATGGTAAAACTATTATAAAATTACTCAAATGGTAAAGGAACATTGTTCACAAGCGCAGCAACTAAGTAAAATATAACTGATGACCGAAAAATGGGAAAAAAAACTATTTATACTAGGCCGAATTTTCTGGACAAAAATACCCATTCGGGGGTAGTGTGGACTGCACAAAATCGAGTGCAGCCGCACTGAGGCTCTTGGCTTTAAACTATTTCTCTCTGAATTTGGCCACCGCGGGCCGCACAAAATGCACTGCGGCTGCGGTGGCTTCTATTGCGGTCCACACAAAAAGGGCCGCGAACCGCATTTGCAGTGATTCCCTAAATTGGCAACTCTCTGAACTCTTTCTTTGCGGACCACATAATATCAAGTGTTGCCACATTAAGTCCATTGCGGTCCGCATAAATTGCTTTGCGGCCGCAATGCTTGAGTCTCTAAAATAGCACCTCTCTGAACTTCCTCTTTGCGGACCGCACAGAATGGAGTGCGGCCGCATTGGTCCTGTTACACTGTGCTTGGACTTGTTCTTGGTACTTGTACATGTTTCACTCCTTTTTGAGCTAGTTTTGATGAATTGTCACCATGTTGACCAAACCCTGCAATCAAGTACAACATGTAAGCTTTTAGGACTATTTTGTACACATTTTTAATCAAAACTAAAGTAAGAAGGAGTTTAAAATGCATCATAATCCCTAGTTATCAACTCCCCCAAACTTAAGCTTTTGCTTGTTCTCAAGCAAACAAATTAAGACCCACCCCTTTAGAGTAAATTCAAGAAAATTCAGTTGACCTAAAGTGACCTCATCTAGTATCAATTGGGACTAATAATTGCCCTCAATTCAAATGAATCATTAACAACATTCGACCTTTTAAGCACCATGGATTTAGTGCGACACAAGAGCATCAAGAGTTGACTCAACACATCAAAGAAACTCTTTCTACTACCTTGGTAATTATTGAACCCAAACTCATACATCCTCAACTCTCCCTAAGAAAATCTCACCTTTAAGATTGTAGCACTCGGAACGAAGATAGTGGAAACACGCTCATCTCTCTCAAAGAAAGGTCACAAGTCCGGCTCTAAGTACCATAAGCTTGCCCCTTATGTGAGTCACCACTAATGTAAGCTTCATTCAACTCAAGATCATATAGGGCTTTTGTGGAGAAATAGTGAAGGCTTTTGGTTAGGGTAGGAAATGTTTGGTCTAAGTAGGTTCCATCTTCCCTTTAGCACTTATTCTGCTTCATTTTGGCACATATTCCCTTGAGTTTTTAAGTCCTTTAACTTCTTTCTAAGGGGTTAGAGAGACACACTGTCACTTTTCTTTTTCATTTCAAATCTTTTTCTCCTTTCTCAACTTTTCACACCTTTCATCTCTTTACTTTTATTAAATCCCTTCATTCTTTTCTACATTGCTCATTCCTTTTGTCTTTTTGATTTTCTTTCTTCTTCATTGCCTTTCCTTTTCTTCATTTTGTACCTTTTACCACTTTGTTGCATTCCTCGTCTCTCCCCCCAAACTTATGCTTTTGCCTTGTGCTAAGGAAAGATCGGATACCAATAGAGAGTATTTTTAGAACGGGTAAAGGTTTGTATCGTGGTTCTTGAAAGAAAATGGTCTATGGCTCAAAAGGGTTGACTAGGGATATTATCATTGGTAGGCTATGGAATTGTTCAAGATAACATTTAGATCAAGGAGAGCCTATAATCACATCTCAAGTCAAATTACACTTATGATTTTGCCTAGACAAATATTCAGGGCAAGTTCTAGACCAATGGCTCGGGACTTGGACTTGTAATTCAAATTCTCACCACACAAGCTTTGGGATTTCTAAAGAAACATAGTCGGGAGACCACAACAACCTTAGTTGAGATTTGAGCAACACAATGGTCCCGAAAAACCACTTGATGATTGTCGGTCAACACAAGAGACTCAAGGTCACCACTCTCACCATCCTAAACACAACAATTTATTTTTGACCATAGGATCAAAGGCAAATGTGTTAGGCCCAATTGAAGCTTTTCTTGAGTCACCCTTACCAACTAACTACTAAAAGCAAAAAGAAAACAGACTCAAACCTCTAAGAAGGTTGTCATGCCATCCATCATCGGGAAGAGCCACTCGGTTCACACAAAACTCCACATTTGGAAAGAACCGTGGCATTAAGAAAACCAAAGGCTTATTGTAAAAACTAAAAACAAGAAGCTACGAACATAAAATAAGAAGCTAAGAACGGAAAAATGCAGAAAGTAAAATGAATATGTACAAGAGGGGATTTAGTCGAATATACAATAGGGGGAATGAATATATACATAAGAACGTAACTTTATATACAGACCCAAAAGTAAAAAGTATGAAAAGTGCAATAAATGATAAAGTTATATACATACCAAAGGTAAAAAGAAAGTATAAAGAAAAAAATACTGTCATATATACCGTCATCCACAAATAGAGCTACCCCCTCAAATGAAAGCTAGCATTGTCCTCAATGCCAACTAACCAAAATAAGTACAAAATAAGGAAGAGGGGAAAAAGAAACTCCCTATGGGCCCTCCATCTGCATAGGATCCTGAATCTAGGTCCCTAGGTCCTCTGTCTGCTCGGGAACCTGTGACTGGCTCCCTGTGATCTGTGTGTCCACTGGGACCTTGGCCTGGACCTGGACTGAGTCCTGGGCCTGTACTGGAATCTGGGGTTGGCTCGAGGAACCTCCCTACGGGTCCTCCAACTCTATGACTGCATCGTTAGTACGGGGAATCACCCTCTTCCTCTTGGGTGGCCTCTCTGACTCCTGCTCTGGCTGGGGCTGGGCTGCTGGCACTGGGTCATGCAATAACAGATCTAGAGGCAGGTGATCAGCCTTCAACCTCTCTACCTCCACCCTCAGCTCCTTCACCGACTCTTTTGAAGCCCGAGTCTTTCTCATTTTCTTCGCCTCCCTAGCAAGGTCCTTTAATGCCTTTCCATGAGAATCAGTTGCATCTATGATCTTCTTCTGGTTATCTAGAATCTCCTTTAGCGTGTCCTCTATTGATTGCGGGACCTGTGGCGGAGGAGGTACTGACTAGGCTACCACCGTAGTAGATAGTACATATAGCTTAGAAATAGTTGTCTACATCCAGTTGTTGATGCTGGTAGTCTGGCTCAGGCGGTGGGCAGTCAAGGGGTATGCAGTGGATGATGGAATCTCTGGAGCTGAAGAAGTAGAGGCTCCTGGGGCCATGTCTGGAGTGGCAGAGGTAGGCTGAATAGGAGCCACTACTACTACTGGCTCTTCAGACTAGCCAGCAGAAGCAGTGGATTTGCCTTTGCAGTTCTTGCCTTTAGGGTTGTCATCACACTGTATGTTGTACCAGGAGAATGGTGCCTTCGCTTTCACTTTGACATTGAATATTCGCTTCTCCACATCTAAGTCCTCCAAGTACATAGTCAGGAAGTTGGGGAAGGGATAGGATCTATCACCTTCGTTCACCACCCGGGCACATTCCTGATGTTAGTCAGGTACCCCGCCATGATCGATTCCACCAATATAGCTCGATGGATATGAAGTGAGTTGTTGTGGGTGGTGGGGTCTAGTCTGCTACACACAAATGTTTCTCACCCGTTAGCTTCAAAGTTTAATGTTCTCCTCAGAATCTTCACTCCCACAGTCAACCAATCTGGGGTGGTACCTGGGATTGCCAAGTACTCTACCAACCAAGGACGAGCAGCTTCACCCAGTGCCACCTTCTCCA